TTTATAAAATTTAAGACTATGGAATAATAAAATGAACGAAATGATAACTGAGTGAATATGCAAAGTAATTATAATGGATAACAAACACTAACCTGGCTTAATGAAGCCGTTTGGAGGGTCAACGGTGTACATATCTCGGTGTGTGAGTTTAATTTTGAACACGGTTTTCATTTGAAGGCTTTGGCTGGTAAAAGTGATCAGTTTTCTCTGTGCCACACTGAAAAAATGTAAAAGCTTGTCAGATCAACATAATCACTTGTCGTTGTGGGCGATAAGGTCTAACAAGTGAAGAATGATTGGTGCGACTAATTAGACTTTATAATGACTTTTCTTACTCATAGTCCGGGTCGAAGAATATTTCCTGCGGCTCGATGACTAGCGGTTCTAGCGGAGTGGTCATTTTCTTCAAAGAAACTAAATTAACGCTAAAACCAACCTCAAGCAAAACATGCAGAAGTTGATGCGTGTCGCTCATTATTTACTTTACACTACTTATCTATTTTTCTGCCTTTATTTTAAACGTCGTTTGTTGTACTTTAAACTTGAATTGATACTGTATCTAAATTACTAGTTTTATAAAGTCAAACAGTGCAACTAGAGTCACGTCTAGGTCCTCTATAAACACATTCACAGGAAGAATAGGGCCAAAGTTACACCCGGAAGCCTACTCCCGAGAAACAGATTTGATATTGACGACGCTCAGTCGTACACTCAGCTGGTCCGGAAGCATCGGGAACGACTGTCAAACAGTACCTAAATGAAATGGCAAAATTAGTTGATTAAACGTATTCAGAAGTTACTTTCTTTGTGCCTCATTGCAAGATGGGAATTCTGATAAACCTTAAAATAGCAAGTCATGGGAACGGGCCATATCTTTTTCCATTTGAAGATCGGTAGGAGACGGAGAGCGTAATCCATCAGCGCCACTGGTGCCTGGAACTAGTACAACCACAGCGAGTACAAAAGGCGAGTACATGTGGAATGAAGTTTCCAGAAGGTGATGAGTCGAGATCAGGACAATTTTAGGCACAGTTTCCTGGATGCTCTCATAACATGTGGCTTTCATTTTTTCATCTTCATAATCATCATGTTTCTACACTGCATTGGATCTAAATTTTGTTTTCTTGTTTTTATCAGCCAAACGTCAGCTTTCCCAGTTTTGCTGTTGTTGTTGTTGCTGGTGTCATCGTCATCTAGGGTCTCAAGGTCAAGGATAGAATACCCATATTATATGTGTTTCATGTTTTGGCTTCTTAGAATGATTCAAGCGATGTTGATTGCTGCGGCAAAGGTCATATTCCTCATCGCAAACA